CAGCAGCCTCAGGCAGAAACACAAGTAGAATCTTAACAAATAAATAACTCGTCTCTCATTGCCAACACCTCCCACCACACAGGGAGAGAGAGGATGAGACCCGAGATGCTCCTTCTCCTCTCTGGAGTGTGGCAGTGACTGAGCATTTATTTCTGGTTCTTAGGAGCTCAGCTGTATGTCCCTCTGCCTGGAGCTCCTGTATCTTGCCAAAGATACTGGCTGTCTGAAGAGAGACTGCCCTGGCATAGCCAGCAGACTGCAAATCGGTGCTCCAGTGAACTCCAGTCACGTCTCATGAAAAGAACATCTCTAAGAGAAGGGTATAACGCAGCTCGCAACTTTTGGCTGGCAATGGCAGTGCCAAACACAGGTCCAAGCCCTTCAAGTAATTTAGAGATTTTCCCAGTGCTTGTTCCCAGCTGCAACACCTAGCAGCACCCAGCCCTCGCTGCCAGCAGAGGACCAGGCTGGAGCCAGGGCTCTTGAAGGGCACACAGCGCAAAGCTGGGGCTGCACCATCTCATGCCCATTAGCACATGTGACTGTTCCAGCCCAACCAGCAATCTCTAAAGTAACACCATGGGTATCAGGAAGGGAATTCCCACGCACATGGGTGGCATTTCACAGCTGCCAAAATGCCCTTCCCGCCAGCTCCCCGGCAGCGTTTTCTTGGTTCAGCAGGATAGGAGCCTGCCAAGAGGAATCAGCTTAGCAAGAGATCCAGGTACCCTGGCTCTTGTCCCAGAGCCCTTCTTGGCACAGAGCCGTGCTCCAGACTAGGCTGGGATGGGATGGAGAGACGAAAATGGTTTTTCAGAGGTTTTTCTTTAGATACTCTGGAGTTTCTCGGACTTGCGCTTTGCTACCCGAGCAAAGCCTTGGCCACTTCATACCACAGTTTCCTGCACCATTCCCAGGGATGCCTCCTTGGTTGTGTGGGCAACAGAACAAAGGGCACCAGTTCCTGGAGCCCAGGATGACCGCCTCCATGCAAAGAGTGTTACCGCAAAATGGCCAGAGCTCCCACACACCCAGCCTGACTCACACAGTGAAGAGGAAAAGGAATAAAAACTTCAGCCTCTCCTCTGCAATGGCAGCCGGGGAACAGCTGAAAAAGGTCCTGGGGAGCAGCTGCCACACAGCATGTCTACCAGTGCTGGGATCCTGGGTCTCAGCAAGTCCTGGGGAAATGGGTAGCCAGTGAAAAGAGAGGGCAGGACCAGCCGTAAGACAGAGCTGCTGCCTTAAAACCATCTGTTCCTGCCATCAAGGGAGCCAGGATGTGACGCTGCTGCACAAAAACTGCCCCTTTTACTACGAAGACCTGGTGTGTAGGGGAGCAACGTCCATGAAAGCTTTGCTTCATCTAGGGAGCTATATCAGGAAATCAGTATGAAAGTAACCTTGTCCCAGAGGTCTGGCAAATGTTTATAGAGGGGAAATAAATCCAGAAACCTGCACCCAAAGCTTCTGAGATGGCTCCTCCCAAGGGAGGCGGTTGGGTATGGATTGCACAACAGCTTCTGGGATGGGAACTACGAGTGGAGGCATGTGTGCAGGGCTGCCCAGAGGAGATACCTCTGTCAGGGACGTGTCCCTGAGACGCAGCACTTATTTTCCAGTCTTCAGGGTGGTGACAACTTTGAGCTGTGGCCAGGATAGGTTTTCAGCCTGTGACTCAAAGAGGAAAGGCTTGGTGTGCCATTTTTGGGATCCAGCTTGTAACCCAGTTCTTACAAGCAACTTGGTTTCTATTTTCTGTATTTTCTAGGATCCTTCAAGCTTTCGGTATTAAGACTCTTAGATCTCTAGAAGCACATTTTGCTCATCTTGGCTACTTCCTAAAGGACCAGAGAGCAAGCATGGCCAGCCCTGCCACCTCCTCACCTCCTGCATGCACCAGCAGCAGCATCCTATTTTATTCCTTCCCATCCCTCGGCCCGTGCCCAGGACTAGTCTAAATTTTCTTGCCAACACATTTTTCTTCCCAGATGTTCTGCTAGTCAGTAATGCCCTAATGAGTTCAGTAATGGCCAGTCTTCGCGAACGAAGAACCGGTGGTACAGTGGCTGAACGGCAGCGCTGTCAACGCTGAGATCCAGGTTCGATTCCCGGTTAGGACACGCCCCGGGCAGATGGAGCTCGTTAGCCCTGTAAGGCAATCCATCTACATCCTGAGGACCTCGCTGCGTGCTTGGCCCCGGCAGATGAACCTCAGGATTAAAGGGTGGGCTCAGTTCCGCGCACACTGTGTCTCACCTAAAAATTCCAATGCGCAGGCTGGAAGGTGGAAAGACCTTCCCCGGTTCTTCGTTCGCGAAGACTGGCCATTATTATTAATGCCCTAATGCGCTATCTAAAGGTTCTTCCCAAATTTGCTTTGGACAACTCCCAGTTTGCAATCCAAGATGACTGTTGGAGCAAACAAAAAAAAACATTTCAGGAGGACTGTGGGACAAGGGACACCCCAGTCCCTGGGGCAGCCCCTTATCTAAGGGTTTTGCCTCCCCCTTGACACCTCTTTCACAAGGAAAGGCAGGGCTGGAGATGCCCAAAGGATCTGTTCCATGTCCCTTCAACAGTTACAAACCCCTTCACCACCTCCTTGCAGCCTAAACTTGGCCTCACCACTTCATTTCCAGAGACATCCTTCCATGAAAATCCTCCCCTTCCTCTCCTGATCCCTGGGGAATTCACAAGTATACTTGCTTCCGCTCGGGGATCACAACCCTCACACATGTAAAGCATTTCACAGCAGCAGGCAAGCGGAGGAGGAGATGTGTCACTGCCTCTGGCTGCCCCGTGCAGCCCTCGGCCGATGGATCTAACAAGGCTCCACAGAAGCAGACGCTTTTGGAGGCCCTGTTCCCCACAGCCTCCTCGCTCACCCTAGAAGCAAAACCCTCCCTACGGGCTTTGCAGCGGGCAGGGGCTGGGCTGCGGCAGGAGGGGAGTGCAGCAAGGGAACCTTCTGCCAGGCATTTCCCAGGTTCCTGAAGTGGGCGAGCGTGGGCAACTTCTAATGACAGCCTGTTATTGCTACCTGTCCCACTCTCATCCCCCAGAGAAAACGACCTGTTGCCGGCAATTACAGGCAGTTTGCAGCTCCTCGGCTACCACAGAGATATAATTGCAACATGTTCTCACTTCATCCGGGAGGGACCGGGCTGCCCAGGTCTGAATTCCTTCATCCCTTTGCAAATCCCCGCAGGAGGGAGAACACCAGCTCAGTAATTGTGATAACTTTCCTCCCTCCCAATATACACAAATATCAGCACTAGAAGAAATACTGATCCAGAAGAGAACTTTTTAGGCTCTCCAAAAATGCACTGCAGTTTTCAGGCTAATCCGTTGTTTCCGATTAACCCACGAGGATGACTGGGAAAAGGTTTTTCGCCAGTCACTTCCCAATGCAGTCTCGATTTTTTTCTTGCTCGAGTTTTTCCGGCTGTCCAGCTAATTGAAGCTTACGTCAAATACTGCTCATCTGAAGTTAAACCTTATACGCTGAAGGCTGTTCTTTGTTTTTAAATCAAAAGGCTTTTCGCTCTATCAAGGAGCTAAAAGAAAGCCTGGATTTGTACTTTTCCGCAGTTTTAAACATGACACTCTCCCTTTTATTTATTTTCCTTTTTTTAAACTCTGAAGGCTCAGCAGGCAAGCCTCTGCAGGGACGAGAGCTTTGCACCAGTGAGATCTGCAAACGTGTCTCGTTTCTTGAACTTTATTTTTCTCACGGTCTCTGAAAAGGCGAGATCGGGTGATACGTGTGGGATCGGCCTTGTACAGGTGCAGATCAGGTACAGGAGAAGGTGGAAAAACATTACTGTGTATACTCAAAAAAAAAAAAAAAAAAAAAAAAAAAAAAAAAAAAAAAAAAAAAAAAAAAAAAAAAAAAAAGGAGAGAGAGAGAGAGAAAGAACGAGCGAGCACATTTTTGAATAGGCCAGGTCTAGTTCTTGGCAGGATGACTCAGACTTAGCTGGCAGACTATGGGAATAGGAGTGTGAGAAAGTCAGTCAAGTGGAGGGGAAAAAAAAAGGATTCAAGTCCCCAGGCAAAATTTTTTTTTTTTTAAAGTAACCCACAAACTGTCCAAACCAGCCGATGGTAGCAGCAGCGCCGGGGACAGGCACCTCCCTGCGGTTTCGCCTGTGCCCCGCGATGTCAGGGCACGCACCACCAGATCTGCAGACGCGCCGTGAGCCCGGGGAGCAGAACCCACCCCGGCGGCTGCCCTTGGTCCTGCGTGTGCTACCGCACATCTGCCCCGTGCCCCGCGCTCCCCCAGGCACCGGCCGTGCCCATCCCGGCCACACCTGCGGGAGGGCAGTGGCAGCACCACGTGGCAATGCCCGGGCTCCTTGGGAAACCCGGGTGGCCTTGGGGAATCCCGGGTGGCCGAGGCAACGCTGCGGGTCCTGTGTCAGGACGCAGCCCCGCCGCGCACCCCGCGGTTCACTTGCAGCCCCCGCACACAGCAGCTGCTCATCCGGTCACCGCAGCCGGGCCCGGTCCGCCGCGTCCCGGCCACCACCCTGGAGGGCCGCGGCCCCCCACAGCGCAGCCCGCCCCGGGGGCCGGCGGTCCCCGAGGGGGAGCGGGCGGGGCCGCGCCTGCCACGGGCGCCAATTAACCCGGTAATTAGCGCGACGCTCCCCGCGCCCCCCCCGCAGGCGGTGCCCAAGGGGTTAAACCGCGGCCGCCCGCCCCGCGCCATTGGCCGGCGGCCGCCGCGCGGCGCGCAGCCAATGGGCGGGCGCCGTCCACGAGCGGGGCCGCGTGCGGGCGGCGCCCATTGGCTGGGCGCGAGTGTGGGAACGGCGGCGGGGGACGTTTCACACGAGCCGCGCGCGTGCGGCGCGCGCTATATAAGTAGGGGCGGCCAAGGGCGCGCGGCACCCGCGCCCCGCCGGCCCCGCCGCGCCCGCCCCGACCCGCCCGGCCCCGCCGCGCCCGGCCGGCCCCCCCCGCCCCTGCCGCCCCAGTGCCTCTCCCCGGCGGCGCAGGATGCCGGCCGACCTGATGGAAAAGAGCAGCGCCTCGCCGGTGGCCGCCACCCCTGCCAGCGTCAACGCGACGCCCGACAAGCCGAAGACGGCGGCGGAGCACCGCAAGGTAAGAGCGGCCGAGCCGGGATGGGATGGGCAGGGAGCGCCGTGCGGAGCCGCGCCGGGCGCTGACCGCCGCCTCTCTTGCAGTCCTCTAAGCCGATCATGGAGAAGCGGCGGCGGGCGCGCATTAATGAGAGCCTGGGGCAGCTGAAGACGCTCATCCTGGACGCGTTGAAGAAGGATGTAAGCGGAGGGGGGCCGGGGCGGGAGGCGCGGGGGGAAACGGCGCTGTCGGGCCGGTCTGAGCCCCGCCTGTTCCCGCAGAGCTCCCGGCACTCCAAACTGGAGAAGGCCGACATCCTGGAGATGACCGTGAAGCACCTGCGGAGCCTCCAGCGAGCCCAGATGACCGGTGGGTCCCTGGAGGGAATGGGAGGAGGTGCTGGGGCAGCTGCATCCCCGGGGACTGGGAGGCATCGCACTACCTGTCTGAATCCTCGGTAGGGAGGGTAACAGGCACCCGGCTTTGCACCTGCATTCTCCGGGAGTGATGGAGGGTACCGTGTTCTGTACCTGTATTCTTGATACAAGGAACCAGTATCTTATGACCTTATCCTGAGTACTGGAGAGTCATTCGGGACACAGTTCTCCTACTGAGGTGAATGGTGAGGGGTAGCATGATCTATATATGTATTCCCAGTATAAAAAAGCTGGGGAGGTCACTGTGTTCTCTGTCTGCATCCCTGGTACTTGAGGGCACTGGGTGGGCTGCAGTCCCAACTTGAGCTGTGCTCCCCACATGGATCTGTTTTGGGGGTATGGGAGACAGAAGAGCCTCTGGGGGAACTGTTTCCAACCTGGATCCCTGGAATACAGGGACATAGCAGTACTCTTGGGACTTGTCTGTTCCCCTTCTGAGTCCCTGATGCTGGTGGATTTGGTAGCAGAGGGGCTGTGCCCTCCATCCAAATTCTTGGCTCCTGGGCACACAAGACACACTGCCAGAGGGGTTGCTTTCCCCACTTGGATTCCTGGCTCAAGAGGGGCTGTAGGATGCAATGCCAGTGGGCTGCTCACCCATGTTCCCTGTGGAGCCTGCTGACCCCTGTCTCTTTTCCCACAGCTGCACTGAGCACAGACCCCACAGTGTTGGGCAAGTACCGTGCCGGCTTCAGTGAGTGCATGAATGAGGTGACGCGGTTCCTCTCCACCTGCGAGGGCGTCAACACTGAGGTGCGCACCCGGCTCTTGGGCCACCTGGCCAGCTGCATGACCCAGATCAACGCCATGAACTACCCTGCACCCCCTCCACCACCCCCACTGCCACCAGCCGCAGCCTTTGGGCCACCCCTGGTGCCACCAAGCAGTGGTGCGGGGCCACTCCCAGGCATGCCCTGCAAGCCGGGTGCCGATGCAGCCAAGGTGTACGGTGGCTTCCAGCTGCTGCCGGCTTCCGATGGGCAGTTTGCCTTCCTCATCCCCAGCACTGCCTTTGCTCCCGGGGGAGCTGTGCTGCCTCTGTATGGTGGCCCACCCACAGCTGCCACTGCTGCCTCGCCACCAGGCCCGCCACCCGGCACAGGCGACTCAGTCTGGAGACCCTGGTGAGGGTGGTGGGCACCGGACTGGACTTGGCTCTGCACCCCGTGCTGCTGGCACGGCTGTACATAGGTTATATGTTCATATTGGATTGTGCCTTTGTACCATAGCACTCCCTTGACAGTGTTTCGTGTTTTACACGAGATCTTTTTTTTTTTCCTTTCCTCCCCTTCCTTATGTGATGCCAAAGATTGGGTTGGTTTTTTTAGTGTTTTTGGTTTTTTTTTCCTTTTTGAATGCTTATAAAATAAAATTTCCCTTCCATTTTGGAAGGTCTTTGGAGATAAATTGGAGTTCTGGCACGTGTGCATAGTAGGGAGCCCAGTTCCTGGCTGCCTGTGGATCATGCTGCTCCAGGGCTGCCTTGTCCTGCTTACCAGGCTGGAGCTCTCACTCAGCCCCTCTGTCCCCTCTGTCTTGTGAAATCACCTTGGCCCCTCTCCCTGCTCTGGGGCAGATGTAATTACTGCTTCTTTGAGAACAGCTCAATTGATCAGACTTGTTAAAAAGAGCTTGTATTTGCAGAGCTGGTGAATGTGCTGAGGGAGGCACCTCCATTCTGTTCCTGGCTCCTCAGCTGATGGAGTTAGCGTAGCTGTGGTAAAGAGAGACTGATTCAGCTGCCCGGGTGGGCCTCCTGCCCTGGACCTGGAGGAGCAGGTTGTGGTGTAAATCACAAATGACTCCAGTCAGTTGATTGAGAGAGCAGTGCCTGCCAGCTTCTCGTGTTACAAAAGCAGTGTGTCTCCACAGGACAAGCTTGACACGAGTGCTCCGGGCTGATGGGCTGCAGCAGGCACCACCTCCACCTGGACTTAAAAGCATAGAGCTGTTCCCGGTCCTGAGCACCAGCCAAGCTGTGCTTGATGATTAATGCTCTGCATGTGGTTTTGATAGAGTTGGGCATTTCCTCTGCTGTTCTATGGAAAACACGTGGCTGAGGGAGTGATGTGGGGCTGTGAGGACCATCTGTATAATTATGAGGTGTCGCTGACCCCTGTGACTTGGGGATGCCCCATTTCCAGGCAAGATGCAAGCCCTAGATAGCAGTGAGCAGCAGTCTCAGGTTACAGCTTGCATTTCCCTTCTCAACAAGTCTTAACTCAGAGCGGACAGCTTCAAAATGTGCCAGGATCCACTGGGGTTTCCTTCCAAATCCTACTGCAAAAGCTTGTTGGATTTTGTCTGGATCAGCCAGGTGCTTGACTGTATCCAGGTGCTGGGGAAATGAAAGCTGGGGAGAGTGTGAGACCAGACGGATTAAACCTGATGGGGTTTGACTGCCCAGCTTTCCTCCCTGCTCCCTGTAAAGAAACACATTCTCCTGATCTGAAAGTACTTCTGTGAGTGTATTTTGGAGGGGGGTGGTGCATGCCTGAGAGTTCTTTCTGCAGGATGTACTGATGAAGCTGCAGCCAGTGGCAGTTCTCTTTTTCAAAGGGGCTGATTTCCATGGGATGAGCTTTCCCTTCTCTGTCTCCCAACATCTTGCTGGCCTGCTTGCATTGCCACCCTCACAGAGGCATCTCGCAGCCAGGTTTAGTGTGCAAGACTTGGGAATACCGGATTTGCTGTCCCAACGCAGGTGTGTAGCCATACAAGTTGAGCTTGCCTTCCCTTTCACCAGCCATAGTGTCACTTTTGTGCACTGGAGGTACCGAGGGTAGGACTGAGCCCACCTTGTGTTCAAAGAAGTGCTTGCAGGACCTGTCTTGGAATGCATCAGACCAGCACCTGCTGCTGGATGGCCTGTGTGGAGCTGATGTAGATCAGTAATGTATCACCTGTAAGAGTGAAGGCTATTCCAGCTGAGCAGTATCTTCCTTTTCTGCTGAAACATTGGTTTGGGAAGCACATTAGAAAAAAAAAGACTTTGCTGTAGGCTAACAGAGAACATACAGCAGATCCAGGAGTGAAAGACAAGATGAACCTATTTGCTAATGGAGTTTAAATAGCCTAGTATAAAGCAGATATGGCATGCTTGGACCGTTTTCTCCAAAGCTTTCTGTGTTTACTCTATCCCACAGCCTGTTGACATGAGAGCTCTGCTTGAGTTTGTGAGCTTTAAGGGGATCAGAGCAATTCCCAGGAGCTGTGCTCTTGGTGCCAGTTCACTGAGCCCGTGACAAATTGGGATGACAAATGCAGGCTGTGGGTCTATGGATCATTGCGTGTGGGAATTGCCCTTCAGGTGCAGCAAATGCCTTCAAACTGGTGCTGTGGGATGAGTAGGCAAAAGGAAGGGAGGGATGGGGGCTGCCTGGGAAGGGACAGGGCTGAGCTATGGCCTTGCAGGGGACTGTGCAGGACGGGTAGGAAAAGGGACCTGACTAAATGCTGCCAGATGGGATGCAGCTCCTGTTGGCTTCCCTACATACCTTGCTGAGCCCTTGCTGTGCCCTGTGTGCCAGCGGAGAGGACCCTGGGAAGGGGCTAGAGCCAGGTCTGTCCCTGTCATGACAACTCTTGGGTTGGTAGGCACTTTGCCACAATCTGATGGGTGCAGTTGCAGCCCAGAGGGTGCTGAGCTGGAAAAAGCAGTACTCCATCCCTGCCTACAGCGTACCTGCACGGGCGTCCTTGGGCAGGGGGCTTTGCCTGCCTCCCCCAGCAACCTGTGTTGCCCCGCACCCACCACAGAGCTTACAGTCCCGGCTGTCCCTGGCATCCCTGCAGCTCCCTTCCATCCGCCACTGCTGCCGTCCCCGGGAAACCTGTCATTAAAGTCAATTAACTTTTCCCACACTCCTCGTGAGCGGCGCAAAAGCCCCTCCTCGCTTCCTCCTTGGCTCTTAAGTGCTACCATATGGCACAGGCCCCCGCGCCCCCCCACTCCCGCCCTGCCTTTGATTCCAGCCAGACAGCCGGAGCTTTATGATTTAAGCCGGGAGAGCCCTCGTACCAAGCCCTGGGCCGCTCTGCGGCCAAGGTGGTTTTTTAGCAGGCAAGGCTGTTTTCTGGCAGGAAATGAATAGCTCCCAGATGAGCTCAGGAACCTGAGAGGTCGTGAGAAAGGAGCGAACCCCCGGCGCGGTGGCGGGCTGCCAGCGGTGTGGGGAACGCGGGAGGGAGCGCGGCTGCTGCCGTCGGCACACGAGCCCGCCCCGGCCCCCGCTGGCAGGCGGCGAGGCCGAGCGCCGGCAGCCCGTGGCCGAACGCCGGCAGCCCGTGGCCGAGCGCCGGCAGCCCGTGGCCGAGCGCCTCCCGCACGCCGCGGACGAGACCCGGCCCCGCGGCGGCACAGCCCCCCGGCCGGCTGTCCCGAACCATCGTCCTCGCTCATGCCAAGGGCCCACAGCCGGCGGCTGACCTTGGGCTGGGATCCAGGCGCCCGGCCCGATGGGAGTGTGGGATGGTGACAAAAGCAGCCTGGCAGCCGGGTTAAGATCTGGGTGAGCAAGGCAGGAGTTGCGGGGGTGCCAGGGCAAGAGTGCCCCAGGACCAGCGCTGCAAACCTCCCTGGGGGGCTGCATGCTGCAGGGTGTGCAAGCAGGTTGAGGTGGCTGGATGCTGTGGGAGCCAGGATGCTCCAGCCCCATGGCTCCCAGCCAGGACACACAGCCCAGCAGTGGGACCAGACCCGACAGCCCACGGCTCTGGCTTGCACCAGCACCTTGAGGCCAGTACGTGCCTCTGCTCTGCTGCTGCCCTTGGGGCAGTGAAGGGGACCTGTGATTTACAGGGGTGACATGTGTTTTACTTAAAACAAGTCAAACAAAAGCCCAGCTTGTTTTGCGGAGCACAGACTTCCTGGGGGGGGTCAGCCCAGACAAATGACTCCACTCCCATTTAAAAAACATTCTCAACCATGCCATCAGCTGGTCCTGGGAATGGCTGGGACAATCATCTCCCCTTCCAGCCTCTGCAGCAGGAGTGATTTCTGATGTCTCTACCCCAGAAGAGCTGTACGCCAGGGGTACCAGCTACCCGTTCCAGTGCCTGACATGTGTCCGAGGATCTGATCCACGCAGGCCATAGCCTCTGGACCATTCTCCTATATAGCCATAGCTTAGCCCTGTGCTGACACCCACAGTGAGCACTGGGAGGAGGCTGGGGGCACGTGTTCTTTGTGCTGGCACCACAGTGAGGGTGACAAGGGGGCCGTGTGGCACGGAAGGGGTGAGGGACTGGAGAGGGCCTGATCCCGGTGTGTTTGCTGAGGAGGGGGCAGGGCAGGGCAGAGGTGCTGTTGCTGAAGGACAGCCATGGAGGTAGGGCTGCCTGCAATCTGTAATGATTAAGAAGCTGCTCTCAGACGAGGTTTATTGCAAATAAAGCCAGCTCAGTACAACTGTGGGGCATTAACCCTTATCTGCCTGGTGTGATAACAGCCCTGGGCTTTGCCTTCTGGCCCAAGGAGAGCAAACACCCTCAGCAGGGCATGGCACAGACTGCACCATGTCACCCTGAGGACACAGCTGACATCCTATGTGGGTGGGACACGCTGGTCTAGCACGTGCTCCCAAAGCTCCTGGCCCCAGCTCCCTCCGCCCGCTGCCCTCCCAGCCGCAGGGGTGAAGGGTCTGTGCCCAAACTCCCGAGGGGTTCAGCTGTACAAAAGCAGCATCCTGCTTAATTAAAAGCAGACCTGCTGTAATGAGCCTGCCAGCACAACAGCATGGCTCGGGCAGCTCTGTTAGAGCGGAGGTTGGAACTCAGCCTCACTGCAGGACTGGGACATGAGGTGGCCCAGAGGCTGCGAGCCGAGGCTGGGAGCCAGGGCTGGGTCACCCTGTGACTCCATGAAAAGCCACATGTCCTCACAACCCCCCACCCCACCCCCCGCCTGTCCCTGATTCAGTCTGCTGCTGCATAACACTTCACCAAAAGTCATCCCTAAAACTGCCCCTGGAGGGGGGCCTCTGCTTGATCCTTCCCCCCAGGTTGAGTTATATGCCATCCCCGGACTGTTACCTCCCAACACAGTGCCCAGCCACGCTGGCACCGCGAGCGCCAGTGATGGTGCCTGCCCTGCAGGGGAGACATCAACTGAGGCTGTGCCAGGAGGAGGCTGCTCCCTGCTCCAGGTCCTTGGACAACAACCCCTCTAGATGTGGGTGCACTGGGCTGCCTTACAGGAGCCTTTCCAAGGGCGCCCTGCTTTTTTTCCATTGTTTTGTCAGCGGTTTCGGCTGCTGAGGAGGTCAGAGTTGTTGAGGAATACACTTTGCAGGTAGTTTGGTGTGCAAGCTGCAGGTTGTGC